GCCTCGCGCAACACCCTGCCCTCGTTGAGCTGGCGGGTAGGGAGGGAGATTTTTTTTTGCAAGCGCCTGTTTGCAACTGTGCGCGTGAGATGCGGCAAGGCAAGGGTCGGGAACGGGGAAAGCCGTTGATGCACGCCCTGCATGCCTCGCGCAACACCCTGCCCTCGTGGAGCTGGCGGGTAGGGAGGGGAGATTTTTTTACAAGCGCCTGTTTGCAACTGTCAATTGCGGTCCCGGTGGCGGTTGTTACTTCGGGACCAGCCCCCCCACTGATAGTTGTGAGGGCGAGCGCCGTTACCTGGGAGATCCTATGCCAGGCGTTGGGCCGCGGAAGCTAGCATTCGGAGCAGGTCTGTCGCTTCAAGGCCGAAGCGCCCGCCGACCTCAAACCCAAAAACTACCAGCCGGTTCTGTGTTGCTCCGGCTCGCTCAGGGGTTGCTCAGGGCAAGCGTTGTTGCGCTTGCGGCGCGCGGCGTTGGCGACGGCCCTTGGCGAAGGTCTGCCCCGGGCTGCGCATCTCTTGCGCGAGTGATTGGGCTGACTATGGTGGCATCAAGCGCGAATTGCGCGCCATGCTATCAAGGCAGCTGTTTGGCCACCATTTCAATGCGGCAAGCATGCTGGACAGGGAAGTCGACATTCATGTCGGCTAGCCGCATGTTGTGGCACATGCATGCCAGCCCCCCGGCACACACACGCCAAGGCCCGTTCCAGCGGCAACGCCCGGGAGACGAGCTGGCCAAGTACAACTTTGCAGCAGACTCAGGCAGCAGCTCGCCCAGATGTGATGTGCCAGAAGCGCAACAAACCAACGCAAATAGGCGATGCGGACCCATTGCTGGTTTACGATTGACGTCAAACGGACAACAGAAAGACACAAACAGCGGCGATTATGCGCGCATTGATAAAATCCCATTGTTGGAACAACGTATAATCAGACCAACAATCATGAAAATATTATGTTCTGGTGACAAGGTTGATTTCAAGTCTACTTTTTTGGACGCGTTATTCAGGGGCGCCCCCAAAACTAAGATAGACCAACCGAGGGGGCAGGGCGAAGGGGGGGTTCGGGGGGATGATTTTTTAAGCGCAAAACCAACAGAAGAAACAAGCCAGAAGCAACAACGGGCGAGACAAGCAGATGTATGGCCACGAATAAAGATTTCGACCACATGCTTCGAGAATTATTGAAATTCATTCCGCCAATTGCGAATGGACCTGGACAAAATGCGGACAGAGGAGCAAAAAACAAAATAATGGCAGAAGGGCGCCAACAACTTGCAGCTCCCAACACGTTGCAAATGTGCCATAGCGGAAGGAAGGCCTGAAGTGTCCGAGCCGTAGCGAATTGCAACCGGATTCAATAGGCAGCACGACGGGAGAGGTTCAATGGTCAAGGGTCGCGCAAGCGAGCCGATCCCAATATATGTACATATATATTCCCCGCAGCTCAACAACAAAATGGTTTTGGTTTGATGACCAGCAACACAAGCAAAACATTGATAAACGGAACCCCGAGGGGGCCATCGGACAAAAAAGAACTATTTCCTTGACCTGAAAAACTTGGTAACACATCCGTCATCAGAGCGAGAGGTTTCGGTGTCAGCACCAACAAACCTGGCAACACAAATGGCATCCAGGATTCGTCGCAATTCAATAAAACCCCGATTTTTCCTGTAGCAGCGGCACAATAACACAAACTGCCGATTAACGGTTTTTTTGCTCGGACCTTTTTCCTGCTCTGTGTGGTCCACCAGGCTAAGGGGCAAGGCGACGACAGCCGGCTAGTGAGACAGATTCTGCTACCCAACCAAGCGCCCGTCTCGCCGTGCCTATATGCACGTCACTGTTGCGCACATCCATGGCCATAGATTGCGGCTCTATACTTGTGGGAGCGAGACATACACGGTGCGCTGGGCCGCGACGGTCGACATTCTTGTCCATAGCTGTACATGCAAGCTCGCCGGGTCAAAGTTTGCAGCGTCACCGACGCTCCTTCTCGCCAAGCCTTCTTGGAAATGACCCCTACCGGCATAGAGCCCACCAAACGAATTGTTGCCGTCCAAAACATTCACCATTTTACTTGTTAATTTGAAGCTGTGAGTTCTTCGGGCCCTTTAGCAAACAGCATCCGCAGTCCCAAGGGCAAAGCGCTGCAAGCGCGCGCAAAGAGCCGAAATCTAGGCATTTGCAGCCAGGACCCCCGTGTGTTTTTCTCTTTCCACTGGCGTGTTTTTCGCGCAATCCTATCAGGGGAGGGGTGGCGTGGCCCATTGAATATGTTTTTCGTTCGGGCCCATGCCTGTTCGCACTTTGTGCACGCAAGCCCGATGAAAAAAACAAGTCCCCGCCTGGCTGGCCAAACTACGTGCCCAACAAATCCCAACAACAACCACAAAAATTGCAGCAGTGCCCGCACACTATTGGATCAGCCGTTCGACCTGTAAGTCTGGTGTGCCGATGCCAAAATGGGCCACAACCAGGTCCGCTTAACATATCACCCCTGAACACTCCTTCGGCCACGCTTTTGGCCCTAGCTGGGGGCCACCATCCGTGCCGACGCCATTGCGCGAGCATGCGGTTCCTGCTTCGGTACGGTCTGGCTCTGCCGTGGATTGGAAACATCCTGATGAAAACAATTCAGGTGTGCTCCCCATTCTCGCCCCCGGTTGGCACCTCTCGCCCTCGGTTGGTGCTTCCGGGAGTGTTCCCTTTTTGGTGCGCACGGTGTACCTGGCAGACCCATCCCGATTGTCACAATTGCACCTGGTGCCCAGCACATGCACCATTGACACCGCATCTCGAATGCTGCTGCTGTCGCAAGCGGCTGCGGCGCCGCCTCCAGTTGCTGTTGTTTTTGGCGCCCCGAGTCTGCGGCCGCCGGGGCCGCATCGACGAACTCGGCAACCACAGCTAAGCTAAACCTACGCAACATTTTGGTGGGGTCGTTTCCTTTGACCGCTGTTTGTCGAGATCAGGAAAATGGCGGGGTGGACCAAATTGTGTCCAGCGTCACATGCCGCAATACTGCAGGCATTGCTGATCATTTGCGAAATTGCGCGCGCAGGAGCTACGGTCGTATCTTTAAAGCCGGGCCGACAGCAAGTCCGAAGATTGATGGTGCGCAAACGCGATTGCTGTGTGGTTTACATAGTGGGTTTGTACGATGGTGCTGCAAGGGAGGACGTCCGGGGAGTGGGTCAGCCAACATGATTCAGTGGTGTTTGTAATGCGTGCCTTGTCTGTCCCAATTGCAGGACCGACCGACTGTTTCATGGGCAAATGCTTGTGCAAAGACGGGTATTGTGCGGGCAGGAGGCCCAGCTTTTGGGTTCACGTGTGTTGAAGAGCAGAACAACATGCAGTCGTCATCACGAAAGAACATGGCGGGGTGGTTGTTCATTCGCAAGCAGGAGGTTCATTCAAGTGATCATTTCAGAGAGCTTGGGCGTTTTGAGAAGGATCCTCGATTCAGCCGCAGCAAGGCGGCTTTGCACAGGCAGTTTCAGGTATACCATGTATTGGTGGAGACATTGCAGCTGGCGGCCAAAACCTCGAAGATTCAATTGCAGGTTGACTCCGCCATGATAAGCGTGAACGTTTTTGGTTCATGTCATCTGCGCGGTGTGCTGCTGCATGTATGACGATGCATGTAGGGCATGTGCAACGTGCTGAAGTTGAATAGAGAGTGTGAGCAATCAAGTTTGTTCATGTGCCCAGATGGAGAAATTTGCAAGCCGCAGGCAGGGCACAAATCATTCGTTGGTGTGGTTTATCCCGTATTGCTACGTCGCTTTGTTGCAAAGGTGTGTTTCAAGGGGGCAGCCCGCATCTCAGTACTTACGATGCACAACGCGCAGTAGCTGTGGTGGTTGCTTATGTTTTTGCAGGCCTCATGTATGCGCTGCAGGTTTGTTTGGGCTGTAGCTCAAAGAATGCATGTCATGGTCCACGTCTAGGACGGCCATTTGCGCCCATGCCATTACGGCCTGCAAGCCTCCTTGGGGGAAATCGAAACGTTTTCGGTCTCGGCGATTCAGCGACTGAAGCCACCAGTTCATGGACGTCCATGACATTTCCAACGCAGTGTCGCGCGAGCAAGTTCTTGTTTCCAGCCTGCGAAGTGGCTTCAACTGACACGGCAGTGGAACCTAGGCACAGTCAGCAACTGGCAACATGCTTTGGCGTCGGAGAGGCAGCAGCTGGCCTTCGAAGCGCATCGGACTTCTTGTTCAGCATCGATAGTGGCCGTGCGTGGGATCAATTCCAGGAGCTCTTCAAGACACCTGCTGTGTTGGCCAAATATGATAAAGATTTTGAATATTGGGTTGCTGAGGCAACTGATGCCAATAACGATCTGAACCGCGCAAAAGAGTTGCTTCAACAAGCGCTTCAAAATCAAGCCCCGCAGCCTGAAGATGAACAGGTTGTGGTTGATCAAGACTGACACGGTCAATCTCAAGCTGATGTGTCCAATTACAGTCGAACGTGGTTGAAGGAACAAATGTGGCGTTATGTTTCACGTCTGTGCAATGGCACATGCTAAAGCTCGCAAATTGTCCATCACTGGCGTGGAGGAAAAGACGCAAAGTAGGCAAGCATCAACATGGTACACAAGTGGCAGGGTAGCGCGCGAAATGACAACGACCTCATCAGGTAAGGCTTGGTGATTGACATACGCTGCCAGGACCCGCCGCGATTCAGGCCAAATAGATGGCTTGCTTTCTTCAGTGGGATGAGCGATGTTGCCAGAAGCTTACGCACCAAGATCACCAAGCCACTTGATTTTGAATGTGGTTTTCTGGTGCAACACTCCCGCCCCTCGTGTGTCCACAACTTCTGTGTTTAGCATCTGGAATCTCCTAGGAGCAATTTCCCGAATATGACGAGTTGGCTGCTCAATATTGTCTGCGTGAGGTCCTAGATGACATGACTCTTGGTTCTGCTTTGGCTGCAGGCTGTCGGAGAACTATATGAATTTCATGTGGAGGCTGAGCGGCCTGCCAGTAAGTAGGCAGTTGTGGCAGTTTCGGAGTCCAGCCAGGATTTCTCCGGTGCCGGTGCTCCTTCTGCTTTTGGGCATCACCGTTTCCATCACGACATGTGTACTGAACTTGATTACAACTGCTTCTACGGCGTTAGGTTGTAAGAGTTGTGCCCGTGGCTGAGGCTTGCTTGTGTTGTGGTGGCAGCGGCAGGAACCTGATTTGTCGTTGTTCTTCGTTTCTTATGCGCTGCTGTGAGCATGACCGCAACATGTCTACTTGTTTGAGGTTATCACTACAGCATGGACTTTGAAGACATTGTGCACGACGGATGCTCAATGCTGACTGCTGCTTGTTTCCTGCGCATGCTGTATGTTGACAGCCAAGCAAGAAATTTGACACCGTTCGCCAAGGATGACGTAAAAGGATTCATATCAGGCTCGTGCCTTACTTGTGCAGTTTCTTTTGTCCCCAGAATGTGAGCATCACAAGGCAAAAGTGGCCACCAAATCATCAGTGAGGAGGAGTTCGCCAAACGTGCCTGGAAGACACGACCATCGCGGCGCCCTTAGACCCCTCCACACCTTTCTTGCCCACGAGGCTTTCAGAGGTGGCAAAGAGCCGCACATGTTGTCTGGATTTCCGGACAGGTGCTTGCCTATGTTCTGCGTTGCGGTTGTCATCATCTTGCTCTGCTTGCCTTGCCCTTACAGAGATGCACTCGACTGAAAGCTATGCCTGTCTTGTGTGAATGCGTCGCCTCCTTTGCATTCTTCAGGTCCACACACATACGTTAAAGTGCATTGTGTCGTCATGGGATTTTAACGGGACTTTGGGCTGGGACATTGAGCATTTCAACAAGTGGGGGCATTCCAAAGTAAACAGGTGCGGTCTGGAAGCTTCACCTTGTGTGTGAGTGCAGAAGTGGTAGCTGTACTATGCTTTGCGGCCAAGAATTGGGGGAACTGCGCGGATCAAGAATGCAGCCCGCACAGCTGCGAGCCCAGAGACAGAGGCTGAGAGGTTCCTTAGCATGTGCAGTCGACTAGGAATTCATCATCCTTACATCCCTGGAGAGGGCCAAGGACTCTCTGACCGCGTGCACTGGCTTTTGACAGCAGACGACGCATAGCTGCAGCACAGGCCAACTCGGTGGAGATTGCAAATGCAACCTTGACCATCAACGAGACGGCTCCAGCCTTGAAATGTAATGTTATGAGCAGAAAAGTGTTGCGAAGGGCAGAGATGATGTGTGATCTGTTTTCTGAGGTCACAAACTTGCACGATAGCCTTCTGCAGGCGCGAAGAATGCTAGTGCAGGTTTTGTCATTGCAGAGTCTGCTAGCCCTCTTTGGTATGCAGATTCCACTGACCTGCAAGACTGAGAGCCAGCACAGCGCTCAGTCAGCACAATTGGGGCCCGTGAGCTGCTGAGACCGAGGGCTGCAAAGCAAGTGCTCTACACCTTCGTGAAGAGTGCACTTGGCCACCGCCTGTCAGCTTTCCACCATCCTGTCCTGGTTTTTACTTCTGGCAAAACCACGGTGCCTTGTTGCAACTGAGGCGCCATAGACCACTACGTCGAGCAAGTGTACTTCATTGCTGAGACGGTATCAGACTTATTCGCGGGTTTCTCAACGTGATTCTTGTAAAGTCCGGAATAGGAACCCCGATTCTATTGGTAATGCTGCAATGCTGATTCATTGCTAGGGTCCCAAAGAGTCGCCAGTTTTCAGAAAGACTGCCTTGCAGAATGGGCTCTTGCAGGTGCAGCCCATTCCTGAACAACTGGAGAAGCTCCAGTACTTAGCACATAGCCCGCCGGCCCAGTACACGCGTGTGACTGTTCAGATTATTCATAATCCTTTCATATCAGCTTGAAACACCACCCCGCAATGAATTGCGCCCCCTGTATACAAACGGGCTAAAATAGGGAATCTGAAATACCGATGGGGGGGTTGATGTCCGTAGAAGGGAAGTAATTGCACAGCAAGTGGAAGTAAACTTTTGTTTGTTTTGCTTTTGCATTCCAGGCTTGAGGCCCCTGTTTGCAGCGCTTCCTTTGGCCCCTTTGTGGCTGGTGCCGGTGCCTCTGGCTTGAACTCGCTTTTTGAATTGCACTAGCGTAGCAGTTATCGGGAAGCTGTATGACTCTAAGGGCGCTCATCTGCGGTATCCTCAGAGCATGCATTGCTTTGTGGAAAATTGTTTGTTTGTCTTTCACCTTGCGTTTGGTTAGTAGCCCCTGTATAACCCATTATAATAGTTTCCATTTTCGTTTCTATTCCTTCATCCCCAGCGAACCAAAGGCCAGTCATTCATTCCGTCGGATTCCAGGCCTTGGTATTGTCATAGAGGCGATATGTACCACCTGTTGTGCGGGGCATAGTGTCAGGAAGCCTGCATGTCCTCCATGTGACTCCAATATGACGATGCTGGCAATGAGGCAGAAGCAGCTCCCTAGCCCGCTGTGTGGACGTTGGCTCCCGGCCTTATGTTTGGGATGATGGAAAATCAAATGGCAACTGCTGCAGTATGGGGGTTATATGTGGATAGGCTGGATGCAGCTGAGTCAGGGACAAGTTTAGAGCCAATCGCGAGGTCTCAAAGTCTCTGCCCTCCTATTTGGGCTCATTGCCCTTGGCTGAGGAGCAGGGGGAAGCGCTGTGTCCTTTGCAAGTCAGAGTAGATAGCTAGCTTACCTGACTCAGGTGCTGATCGTGTCTGGATTGGTTTTCGTGGAAACATGCCTGTTAATCGTGCTCAGCCTCCGCCCTACTGGGTGGGCCTTGTGCGATACATAGTAATATAGTAATGTAGTAGTATAGATTTAGATAGTACTCTATTAATCTATATAGTAGTATAGTATAGTAATATAATGCTGAAGGTGTTGCGTCGTGCATTGCGTTTCGTTCGATCAAGTGCTTTTCCTCCCAGGCAAGTTCTGTGAGGACGTCGACACCAATGTGTTGCACTATGTGAATGCTACTACGCGCGGTTCCCCATGCGTTGGCTGTTGTCATGCCCCCACACCATTGTAAAAGGTCCAACATATCATACCTGATTCCGGAGATCGCGAACTACTACATCCGCACAGTACTCGATCTGGGTTATGGATTAGGAGGACCCCCCACCCTGTAATAGTGGTATAATAAGAATATAAGAGGACCCTAATATAATCCCTATTATTCCTTATAGTCGCCAATTACTGGGTGGGGGGTCCACCTAAGTTATGGATTTTTTAAGTTCCCTCTTGCCTGTGAAGCCTCCTCAGGCGGCGGTGAGCAAAATCCTATCGTGGAGTCTGTCGCTTAATCTATGGTCCTGCCGAACAAATAAGCCTACATAGTGATGCTCCCGACGCTTGAAAATTGTAAGGTACGACACTCTTGCAGTGAAGTACATCAATCAGATCCAGGACTACTACAACCAGGCTTGTATCAGCCCCTCCAGTAGTAGTACGTTCCTTAGTTTAAGTTCTTATATTGAGCAGCCCTACTAATCCTACTATTTACTATATAGACCCAGTATGGTATCTTAGTTTAGGTTCATTAACCCTCAACCTATGCATCCCTATTATACCCCCATGTACCCCGATATAATCCTTATGTAACATGGTAACTTAGTTGAAATTCCTTAACAGCAACCCAGTTTGCTGCTGCAGGCATCCATTGGAGTAGCCGGCTTGGGCATGGCTTGTCCCATGCCTGCAAGAATGTAGCGCACTGGTAAATATCGTAAGTATAGTGAATATATAGCAAATATAGATATAGCAAATATGGTGATATATTGATATAATTAATATTAGACTATCTAGTAAATATAGTTATAATGTTGCTGGAGTCAAGGTGTGATTGGGGCTGAGGTCCCGCATTCTTCGCTCTGGATGTGAATGCTATTGCTGTGCAAGCGCGCGAAATCTTGGACAGGCTCCAGCCACAATATTACTATGTGTACTATATATCAATATATCACTGTATCACTATAGCATGTCTGTAGAACTCCATAGTTGGGATATTTGGACTTCCGGAGTCTTACCTTGCGATACGGTTTATTGCCACGCAATTGGCAAGCCGCGTCTGTCGAAAATCCCAAAGAAATCGCGGCTGGTTTTGACATATGTACATGTGACAATGCATGACCTCACAGGGCGAGGCGCCTTCTCAAGGGCGAAAACATCTATCCTTACTACTGGAAGGCTGGAATCGAGTAGCTGCTCTCCACACAGGCGTGCTGAATGTTGGAGCAGCTGCATGCCACCAGATTATTCGGGCTGGGACCTGCAACGTGGTCATCAGTGGGGCTGGCACCCTGGTTATGCTTTGCTGCAGTTGTTTGTCCAGTTACCATCAACAAGAATGTGCGACAGAAATGCCACACCACCATGCAGACTTTATGCAAATCGCCGTAGGGAATTGTGTCACAACCAGTCACATCTGCAGTGAGCTGCAAGACTGTTGATTAATGCCCTGGTAGTTGTCTGCTTGATTGTGAGCCGCTCTTACCAGGTCGGCTGGATGTGGCTCTTGCAAGTACTCGTAGGCCAGGCCTTCCGAGAAAGCATCAATGGACCTAGTTATGGACACGTTTTTTCTTCAGGAATTGTCTTGTTGAAGCCTCAGTTACACCGCGTGCAATGCAAGTATGCTGCTTGTGCAGAGTCTGGAGCCGGCAGAGGCTCGTATTGTTTCATCTTGACCGTTCCAAACCAAGGTTTCCACTATGCGCCTGATGCTCAGTTAGATGCTGCAGGATGCTGCCGCCAGCTTTGCAAGATTGTCAGGCTTGTGCTGTGTATTGCCCGCAGAGGCAATATTGACCCACAAATTTCTTGTGGACTGGGCAGCTTGGCAAAAGGTCAGAGAGGCCGGCCTGTGCAGCTGAATGCAACCGCGAACAATAGTCCTTTCCCCCGTAATACTAAATACTCCCAATATATTATAATGCAACATAATGGGGAGTGTTTAATACCCAATGTCTTGCAATATCTAATATACCAATGGGGCTTTTTTCATCTCAGGGGGCGTGGGGGTATTTAATATTAGGGGGAGGGGATGAAGAGAAATTATCGGGGTCATAGAGTTCGGCAGAGGCCCGACGTGCCAAGAAGGGAGGCAATCTGTGCGGCCACCCAGAGTGCGATCAGCTGAAGTTGTTTCCAATCCCTACTGTAAACCTGTTCATACCCTATTATAATACACTACTTTCCATTTCTTTCCGTTATCCCTATATCACCCCATAAAGCAGAGTTTACAAGCCGAAGTTGTTTCCAACCAAGTGCACAAAACATGGAGTGCAGAGTAAACTGAGTAGACTCAAAGCAAACAGAGTCAGGTCGGACGACAGCAGTGATTCCGATGATGAGAGTTTGGTCAGCGAGACCACATCCTACACTGAAAAAAGTCCCATGATGGGTCGACAGGTTTATCCCGCGACGCACTAACTGGTGCCCTGTAGCCGCAGGCGGTGTTTGCGGAGCTGTGTGATGGAGACTAACCGCACGTCTACCTGTTCTTTTTCCAGCAAAACTGCAAAACTCGTAGCTTGGCAGACTTGCAGAGCTACTCCGCAAGCTTCTTGAGCTGTGGACCCCAGCTAATGCACCTAGGCCCAAGCCTGCGACAAAATGGCTGCTTCTGCCGTGCTTGCAGCTGTGCGAGTCAACTTTGTTCTCATTTTCCTGTGGCATTTGGCGGGAACCGGCGGACGGCCCATCATGTTTCGTGCATCTCAAAGGATTTAGGCGGGAAGGGCCCCGACATGCTCCGGTCACCCTTAGCCCTTGTCTTCCACGGATGCCTTGGAACTTGGCCATATGCTCAGACTTACTGGGAGTAAGTAGGGAATATGGGAATGTAGTTCTTCAAAATATATTCCCATATTCCCTACTGTAAACCTATATATACCCTATTATAATATACTAGTTTCCATGTTCTTCTCCGAAATCCCTTTATTACCCCAATACGCAGAGTCTACATCCAAGCAACCTGGCCACCCATTTTGGCAACCAGGTGCAGGTGAGAGGCTCACCTGCGCGGGGCTTCGAGGCGCAGTTCCTGGCTGACTCGGAGATTTCCCATTCGGTGGTACCATTTAAAGGGGTTTATAGGGGCTATATACGGGCATATGGGAATGCATAGTGGTTTTTAGGGATTAGGGTTGCCCAAAATTAGGGGTACCTCTTGGAGGGTCCCTATGTAATAAGGATTACAATAGTTTTTTGCAGTCTATATTGGGGTCCCCCTATTTGGGATACTAGGGTCTGTCTGATGCTATGGCCATTGGCCTCAGGTCGTCTTCTATGGGTCTCTTTTGTTGCCGGTGCAAGCGGTCCGATGCTTAGCTTCTGCACTGTTCCTGACACGTTACCTGCTGTAAGGGGTCCATGATGAGCACAGATATATATATATACATATGTATATTCATTAATATTACTTTTCCTTGTAACCATAATTCCCGTGTGCCGCCAGAAAACTCCAAGTGCACCCGATTTGAGACGCCAGAATTGGTAGTTTCCCAAATTAAGGGGGACCCCAATACAGACACCAAAATATTGCAATCCTTATCATAGGGAACCCCCCATTTTTGGGAAACCCTAACCCTTATATAACCCCTATAGAACCCCTCAGAACCCCTCAGAACCCCTATAGAAACCCCATATAATCCCCATATAACTGCTTGGGACCCCTAAACCCTAAACCCTAAATCCTAAACCCCAATTTTGGGAAACCCTGAATTTGAAAGCCCCCCCGATGGAGCTGAAGCCGAAGAGGTGGACAGCACCTTCTGTACAGAGCCAGGCCGGGGCTCTCGGCCAAGTTCTGTGAAGAAAGGATTTCTGCATGGCACTTTGGGATAATTAGGTTTAGGGTTTAGGGTTTAGGGTTTGGGATAATTACTGATTTCCCCTACTGATTGATACATAATTTCGGCCCAGGATGTTGTCATTAAGATATGCTGGAGCCTTAGGTGCAGCCAGGAGTTCTTCATGCATTGCGCAAGACGAGAAAGTGTGAGTTTGTTTGAGGCGACAGCCCAAGCACAGGAGCCTGCTGCCCTCTGAGTTTACAGCACCTGCATAGAAAACTTAGGGTTTAGGGGTCCAGAGTTTAGTGGTTTAGGGTTATTGCTTAGTTTAGGGTACTTGGCCATGCTGCATTCCAGCACAGAAGACAACACGTTGTCTACAACGAGAAGTTGCCCAGGTGTGTCATCTTCGTCGACAGCACCCACCGACAAGGACACGGCTGTATGGTAATTTCCCGAAATAGGGGCACCCTCATCTAGACCCCAAATACGATAATCTGTACTAGAGGGACCCCAAAAAGGTACCCCTGATTTTGGGAAAGTCCCGTATGTACCTGCTCGAGGCTCCCTCCCAAGCATGGCGTGTCAGGACAGTGGAGCTGAGCTGTAGCCTTGACAAAGCCTGGGTTGCTGTTCAGAAACTTAGATTAAGTCACCATTATGGGAACATATGGTTTTCGGGGTATTTAGGGCTTAAGTTGCCAGCCATGATGGGTATATATAGAATTTGATCGGTTTTCCCGATATGTTCTTTAGCAGAAATTAAGCTCTTTAACAGCAACTCAGAAGCTTCTTGGCCATCATACGAGTCCGTCCAGCACAGTCTTTTGAGGTCTGAGTCTCCCACGCAGTGCGAGATGTACGAGGGCCCTCATTTTTTGTGCGAAGCTTGGAGATATCTGATGAAGTTGCAATATGACTCATATGACCCTGCTGGCCAAAGACAACCATTCCAGATCAGAAGTCTTTCTGTCGTAGCCTTGTAAGCCTAGCCATTCAGGCTTCAGCAACTGGGGGCTGTAGTTGGGCTCGGGAGCCGATGCCCTCACGAATCATGCGCTCGTCAGCTGGTGTGGTAAGCTTCGCCTTGGTGCTGGGACTTTGGACGTCAATGCTTGCGAGCAGTTTTGTTAGCCCACTGCGACTGGGTGGCGCTACTCTGGGAGCTCGAAGAGCTCAGGGGGCTGTGCCTTCGGACGCAGGTGTGGCAGGTGCTGCAGGCGCTGCAGGTTCGACAGGTCCCGCGTTGGGCCTGGTTATGACGCTGGTCATCGCAGGTCTCTCTGCGCGAACACAGCGTCAGAGGCACGTCATAGTGGGCCTCCGGGCAGAAGCAGAAGCGAAGGAGGAAGCAAAAGAGGAAGCGGCGGAAGAGTCAGCTGAGCCCAATGCCGAGGACGGCCTGCCGTTTTCTTCATATGCAATTCCGCATAACGTCGTATAATTCATTATGGTACTGTTAGTAATGGACATGTGCAAGTTTGCTGGTGTAGCAGGAGCCGCAAGAAGATGCAGCTGAGGAGGATGAAGGAAGTGAAGAGGAAGAGTGCCCTGGCTGAGTTGGCTTTCCGGACTCGGCGGCCTGACGGTTGAGGGTTTTAAGACTTTAAGAGTTGCTGTCAGCGTGCTAGCGCCCAGGAAGAATAAGAAACCTGCCAAGTGGAAATGCCTTGACTGTGGCAGCATGCCCAAACCTCAGATTTCTGCGGTGCATCACCCAGAACAGGTTGATGAAGAAAATGTCTCCTACTGCTCTTGTCTAGCATGGACTGCAGGAATTTTGCAGCCAGCACAGACTGTGAAAAGTGCGGGGCTGCGAAGCCTTCGCCAGAAGAAGCCCAGCTAGTTGATGAGAGAGACAAGGTGGCAAGCTTGCTTTCCATTTCACCTTTTGAGGCCGTGTTGATTCCAGATTCCAGACGGAGTGTGCTAGGCGAAAGATGAGGTGGCAAAGGTTATGGACGGATTTCTCCGAATGCAGGCGGCCACATGCTGCCTTGAGAAACCCCCAAGTCTGAATCAGCTGTTGAAGGCAGACTTGCAGAACTACCGCAGAAGCCACGATGAGGCCCTCGGCTGCAGCTCTGGTGCCGAAACTCGCTGTGTGTCCTGTGAAGCAGGCCATGGCTCGCGCAAGAGACCTTGGCAAAGTGGACCGCAGCTCATGGCTGTACATGATGTACTTTTTTTTTTTTTTTGGGGGGGGG